AGGGAAATCCTGCGGGCTCTTTCCACCCTTCTTCTCGGGCTTCTAATCTCTTCGTCTCTCCGCAAGTGCCGCTCCATCTGTATCTTTCTTCTCCAAGTGCAGCAACTTTAGGGTGTCGTCTTTTAATTTTAAGTTTGCAAGTCGTCGTCGTTGTAATTTCGTCTTTTTAGTTTTATTTGAAATGTAATAATTTGTTCTTTCCTCTTCTAGTCTTTGCTTTGTCAAGTGTCGTATAGTTTTATTTTTGTTAAGCAAAAAATATAGGGTCCCCTATATTTTTTGCTTACATCAGAAACCGAGCAACCACATGGGCAAACCAAACAGCCACCATGGGAAGACCAAATAACCACATGGGAAGACCAAACAACCACATGGGGAAACCAAATAGCAGCATATAATTCAACCTTCACATCCCAAACTCACACCTTTCTCTTTCCATGCCCATTTTGTAGGTTTAATTAACTTCTTAATATTAGACATCTCTATTTGTAATAACGTTGATATAATGTCATTATATGCTGGTGGGACATAACTTGCAAGATATTATTACATGCAGAATTAAATGCATTTTTTTATAATGACGATTTCTTGCAAGGTTAAAAGGAAGGCTAAATGAGAAAATCATCCTTGCAATTTCACTTCTAGCTATTCTCGTATTTGCATATTAAATACCTTTACTAAATGAATGCTTACAACACCTCTTATTCTCTTAGGCTTATACCGTTCCATCTAAAATGAACCTACATTGATATTATTAACATCATCAATTCTAATATAAGTAGAAGCAAAATGACATGATTATGAGTACTTGGTAATGGTATCTCCTTAGGAATAGCCTTTTTGATTTTCAACTCAATTTTTTTTACTTGCTTTTGTATTTCATTCAATTGTGAACTATGTTGCACCGATACGAATACAGCGACACGGATACGGGACACGTCAATTCTTAAAAATACAGGATACGGGTACGGTGCAGACACGATATTATAATTTATAAATCATACATAAAAATTAAGAAATCAATCAAAGCATAATATTTGAAATAACAAAAAAAAAAGAGAGAGAAAGTAACATCATTGTAGCCTTGTAGCTTATAATATCAAAAAGAAAAGTATCAGTAATGAGAAAACCTTGCTCGCAGTCGCGGAAGTAAATATGATGGGTCTTTTTTTCGAATTTTTTTTGTTTTTCAACAGACACGCGTAAACATGCGTATTGGATACGCATGTCCTTTTGAAATAAAATAATATTTTAATTGGATACGACAAAGCCGTATCTGACACATATTGGTGCCGTATCAGAGGCGTATTCGTGTATCGGTGTATCAGATACAACACGCCTTCATTATTTAGGTGCATCGGTGCAACATAGATTGTGAATCATTTGCTTAGGGCAAATTTTAATTCTGACTAATAATAGTAAGTGGGCTTTCACCCTTGAATGCAAACTTTTGTAAGTGACATTATAATAATTACATTTAAATGTAATATTTCCTCCACTTTTAGAAGATGTTTCCAACTTAGTTACATGATTCCACAATAACTTATTATCTTTTATATTAGGTTCTGTTGAAGCTTCGCCATTTTTAGATTT